GTAGATTACATTATATGCATTCTTACTGTTTCACATAAGAAAATATTCAATCCTTTCTAAAGTTGTTTTCTTCAAAATCTATGAAATTTTGTTGGATTTCTTTGAGATTGGGGAAGTATGATTTACTTACATGTAATGAGCTTGATTTTGTAGTTGACTTCTCTGCTGCTATTATATGAAATGGGGGAGAAGTTTATATTCATACTGTGCTATACAGAAGGAGTGATCCACAACGGTCAAAATGGTATAGACTATAGTAAACCTCCACTTAGAGGAATTCTATTTCAAGAAGTTAGAGGATTTGATGAGTTGAAAAAGAGGTTGAATGATGAACTTGGCACTCTAGGAGGGGTTGGGGAATTAGGAATAACTTATCGATGTCCTGCAAAAAATCTACTCGATTTGTGCCTATGCTSCTTCGAAATGACAAGGACGTGAAGTTTATGACGACTGTTGCCACTCTTTCACAAGTTCCTAGATGTGTGGAGTTGTATATTAAGAGATCTCAAACCTTGGAATCCCTATTGTCAACCACAAAGTTCAATAGAATGGAGGAGGCGAGTGCATTCTTAAGTTCTCATAATAGGTGGAAATTACAGAAGGAATTTCCTGGATGGATGAACATGCTAATTCAGGAAAACAAAGGCACTCGAGTTCAGTGGGATCCGACTTCAACGGGCACAAGTTATTATAGATTTAAGCGAGTTTTCTGGTCGTTTGGTGCTGCAATTGAAGGGTTTAAAATATTGTAGGCCATTTATACAAGTTGATGGTATCCCGTCATCTAGTAACTATGATGGACATTTTTTGTTTGCCACATCTGTAGATTCAAATGGGCTTATATACCCTCTTGCTTTTGCGGTTGTTGAGGAAGAAAGTGATGATAGTTGGTCGTGGTTTTTGCGTATCTTGCGAATGTGTCACACAACAAGATAGTATGTGTTTAATTTCGAATATGCATAAAGGTATTTTGTCAGTTGTAGATGATTCTAACAGTGGATGGGGAGAGCCAAAAGCATATCATCGCCTATGCATACAACATTTGGCAACTAACTTTGGTGAAAAATACAAAAAGGAAGATTTGAAAGATTTAATGTACCGTGCAGGATGTCAACACCAGAAGCGCAAGTATGACCAATGAATGAATGAGTTAAAACAAYTTAATCCAGAGTGCCTAAATTTCTTTATCCATGTCAGAGAAGGARAATGGGCMCAATCATTTGACAATGGTCATCGCTATGGTTGGATGACCACAAAMTTAACTGAATGCATGAAAGAAGTCCTGGAAGGGGTTGAAAAGTTACCCATTGAGGCACTAGTTCAACTAACCTTTTATCGTATGATATCCATCTTTGATGAACGCAGGACTAAAACTTACGTGGCATTGAGTAAGGGAGAGTTGTACACAAAATATGCACCGGAAAAGATAAACAAGTGGAAGGAAAGAGCTAGTTCACACATAGTAGTTACATTGGATGGAGTGAATGAAAATTTTGAAGTCGTCATTGGAAGTCATGGATCAACTCCTATCAAGGGTCRAAACAAGCCGATGGTTAAACTAAAAGATAAGTCATGTACTTGTAACACGTGGAAATCATTTGGGATTCCATGTTCTCATGTAATAGCAGTTTGTTTACATTGCCACATTGTAAGAYATGTACTTGTAACAAGTGGAAATCATTTGGGATTCCACGTTCTTATGTAATAGCAGTTTGTTTACATTGTCACATTGACCATTGGAGATATGTCGAGGACTACTACAAATTATCTGTATACCAATCATGTTATATTCCTCAATTTAATCCTCTGCCTTCTAAAGATTATTGGCCTAAAATGGACTTCATTATACTCCATCCAAAGGGGTACTTTATGGGAGAAGATGCACATTTGAGTACTTGGCACACTTATAATGAGATGAACCGAGAAAAAGTTAGTACGAAAGCTCGTTGTGGACTATGCAAACAACAAGGGCATAATAGGCGTTATTGCCCACTTGAGAAGAAAGATACTGCTTGTTGCACAAATAACCCGAGCTGAGACTTCATTTGTCGTTTGTTGTTTGCTTTCCCACAGGTTTTAAACTTGGGAGTCTTCATTTAACCATCGACTGGTTCAAACTGTATATGCAAACTTTGCATATGTGAATCATTATGATGAATTTTGTGTACATGTAATGTATTTATGGATTCTAATTTGGGAATCTTTTTGTATCTGCCTTTATGTTGGTGATGATGAAGGAATATAATTTTGTAGGGAAGTTGGAAACTTTTGTCTTATGGATTGTAGTTTACAAATATGTAGTTGAACTTTTGATATGGATTTTGTTTTTAAAAAGGGACAATTCTTTTTCCTTTTGAACCAAATTGTTGTGTTGGTAAATGAATTCCTAGAGACTAAAGAATGAGTTGAGAAAATGCATAGTAAAGAAGAAAAAGAATTTCCAAGTCTGGTGAAAGATGACAAAGTCTTGTTGTCTGACATTTTTTACGTACAAAATTTTATTGCCTTTTTCATGGAGTGAAATGTTTCAAAATTGGAGGCAAAAGTGAATAAAAAGTACAAATAAACTCAAGTTCTTAAATAATGTTCACACATGAAGACTGGATTTGGCCAACATCAAACAAAACCTTTCAATTTCAATCCAGTTTTTTTTTTTTTTTTGACCAATTGAGTTGGCTAGCTGTAATTCATGATGCCTAATAAGATTTCATTATTCAAAAATAAAATGATTTGATATTCAACTCTATTTGAAAGCTCGTTTTTCCATCAAATTTGGTTGACGTCACGTTATTTTAAAATTGTATTTAGAACCAATCACAAATTTTTGCATGGTCTAATTTAGTTTCAAAATTGACGAATAAAATTATGTCATGACGACCGTCTGATAACATTAAGGGTGATTTTTACTTTTGTTTTGTTTATAACATGGACCAAAAAAGATATTGAAAAATCAAAATCTTAATTTAAGCACAAATCCAAATCCAAATTGAAACCAACATGTAAATCCTAATTTAATACAAATTTTAAAATTTTACATTATCCAAAGTTTATCTAAATTCCAAATCCAAATTGAAACCAACATGTAAGCTCTAATTCGACAATATTAAGAGCTTACACCTTATATTATAGAGAGAGATGGGAGAGAGGAAGATGAAATTGAAAATGTTAGAGAAGAGAGGCTCAAAGATTCAAAAGGGGGATGATTGAATTGAAACCTAAGATCAATGGTTTAGATTAAAAAAAAAAAACCCCTTATAATCTCGGGTCGGGTTGACCCGAGGTTTTCAAGGGTCAACCCGAGACCCGACCCCATCCGATCGGATTGGGATTTTTCCAACCCAACCCAATGTTAGATTCAACCCAACCCAACCCTTATGAATTGGGTTGGGTTCGTCGGGTTCCTTAAACACCCCTAGTCCAAATTCATTAAACCTATGAGAAAAATAAAGACCCATTACAACTCTATAGACAGAGAGTCACTCTCATTGGGAATTTTGGAGAAAGAATTCATTTGGATGCAGAGCCATCATTGGCAAAGAACTTCATCAAATCAAGTTTATTTATTTCAACTTTTTTTCTTCTTTGAATTTGTCAAACACCTTTAGAAATGTCAAATTACTGATTTTGCCCATATAATTTTAAATGTTTTAATGTGGTTGGTATTTTTAGGTTTAGTTTCAATTTGGTTTTTTAGTTTGATTAAATCTCAAAAGTCTTACCTAAATTGTGTTTTTACCCCACTTGAAAAATTCACCATATTTTATTATTATTTTTTACTCAACCCTCAACCCTAAACCTTAATGCATGCAACTAAACACACTTATTCAAATAGAAAATTTTTACGTTAAAGAAAAGAAAAAAATCAATAGGATGACAATAGAGACAYTTTGTAAAGTTGACTAAATCGCATGAATCAAATAAAAAAGTTAGATATGGCAAGATTTTAAAGTAAACTCCTAAAACCATCCTAAATTTTGTTTTTTTAGTACAATACATTGAGAAGGGGATTCGAAYTCACAATCTGGAGGTATATGCCAATTACTGCTGAGTTATACTCGTTTTGGCAACCATCCTAAATTTTGTTATCGTTGCAATAACTTTTGATTTGATGAATGACCTCATTTTCTTTAATACAACATGAAAGGTGAGATTTAACTCACAAACTCTCGATTGAAAATATATGTCAATTTACTGTTGAACTATGTCATTTTGGTGATTAATGACCTCTCTTAATTTATATAATTATTACAATTAAACCTTCAAATATTACAAAATATACCGACAATTAGGAGGGTAGGTTCTTAAAATCAAACTCAAAATTTTTACTATTTTATACAAAATTGAGATGTCGGTTCCACGTTAATCTGAAAATAAAAAATTTCAGTGGTTAAAATTATTGTTTTCAAATTTTGTAGAATTAAAAACATTAAAGCTAAATTGCTTAAAATTTGATTTTAACCATTTTTTTAGTTCAAGAATATTAACGAATCTAGTTATGATTGTCAACCTGAACATACCTCACCAGATTAAATCACAAACTTTCAATAAAAAATATACTCACATGTATTATTAATAAAAATAGTGTAGCTATGTACAGACAATTAATTTGAGGGCAAATTACAAAAATTACACTAGAAACTATGATCCACTTGTAAAAATTAGTAAAAATTAAATCCTCACGGGATTCCACGTGCTCCATGCTACTCAAAGTCAGAGAGTAAGCTAGTGGTGCTTTAGACTACTGGACTCTTGCTATCTAGGGTGCGACACTCCACTGCTTCACCTAACAACACAATGTTTATATTACTCTCTCACAACCTCATTTTCACGATTTAGGCTGCTCTCGTTTTGCTCGCCGCTACTACAAGAATCGCTTTAAACTTTCACAAATGAGAAAATTGCACCCGAAACTTTTCAATGGTAAAAATTATACTCTTTTTTGCAATTTGCCCTTAACTTTTCAATACTTAGGATTTCTTTTTATATATATATAATAGAATATTAAAGAAAAGAGAGACCTCTGTTTTCCCGCCATGAACGGAGAGGAGATCGTCTTCTCAAAGACGCTTTCTGGTTAATTTCCAAAACTGTGTAATCGCCATTTTTGCGGTTTATTGATTGGGTCTTTACTTTATCGACATTATCACTTCTCACTTCCCTCTCCACTCTCCTGCTGTCCTCCGTCTGCGCTCCCTTCTCTGTCCACCGGAGGTCTTAGCGGTTGCGGCTGCCGGAAGTTCCTTAACTGGTGCAATATTCTCCTCCGGCTGCTCATCGGCGGTTTATCAAACAACCGGCTGCGTCTCCAAACTTCCCGGTGCGTGCTGATTTTTTTTCTAGAGGTAAAATGTGGAGTCCCAAATGGTTAGGGTTTTACGGGTTTTGGGGATTTGGGAAATTTCTACTATCGTTCTTGTTTTATTGAATGCTAAAAATATTGCTGTGCTGTTGGATGGGCTTTCTTTTAAGAATCCTGTGAAAAGACCGTTCTGATAAATTTGTTGTTATTGGGCTTTGGAAAATGTAGTTTGAATCCTGGATCCTTATTGTTGGATGACTGTCTAATGAAAAGTCTCTGTAATGATCAAAAGGGAATTACATTTACATATAGAGATCAAGATAAGAAGCAATTAGTGAACAAAAACTGAAAATATTCAATCCCTTTACAGTTTTTTCTTCAACATCTGTGAAATCTTGTTAGATTGCTTTGAAATTGGCAAAGTATGATTTTGTGATGAGTTTGATTTTGTAGTTGACTTCTTTGCTGCTTTATATGAAATGGGGGAGAAGGTTATAGTCATATTGTGCCATTCAGGAGAAATGATTCTGGATGGACCAGATTGTTTATCCTATGATAAACCTTCACCGAAGGGAACTATATTTGAAGAAGGATTTGATGAGTTGAAAAATATGTTGATTGATGAACTTGTAGCTCCAAGATAGGATGAAGAATTGGAAATAACTTATTGACGTCCTGAAACCACCAAGTTGTGCTCAATTTAAGCCTCTACTTCTTTGTAATGATAAAGATGTGAAGTTTAGGAAACCATCCTAGGATGGCCTAGTGGTCAATTAGAACCAATATAAATAGTAAAGGACTTTGACGGAACGAGTTCAAACCATGGTGGCCACCAACATAAAATATAAAAAGAAGGATTTGAAGGTCTTGATCTATCGTGCAGACTATCAACACCAAAAGCATAAGTATGAGCACTAGTTCAACTAACTTTTTATCGTAGTGTATCTATCTTTGCTAAATGTAGAATTGTAACTCAAGTGGCATTGAGTAAGGGGGATCTGTACACAAAATATGTACTAGAAAAGATACACAAGTGAAAGGAAAGAGCTAGTACACATAGTGTAGTTAAGTGGAAGGAAAGAGCTAGTACACATAGTAGTTAAATTGTATGAAGTGAATCAAAATTTTGAAATGTTCACAGGTCAAAATAAGCAAATGGTTTGACTAAAAGATAAGTCATGCACTTGTAACAAGTGGCAATCATTTGGGATTCCGTGGTCTCGTGCAATAGTAGTTTATTTACATGGCCACTTAGACTATTGGAGGTTTGTTGAAGACTACTACAAATTGTCAGTGTACCTATCATGTTATAGTCCTCAGTTTCATCCTATAATAGGTGACACACGTTATGGGCCTAATTTGGACCTTATGATAGTTCATCCAGATCAATGCTTCATGGGAGAACATGCAAATTCGAGTACTTCGCGTGTTCATAATAAGATGGGTCGTGCAAAGGCTGGTTCGAAAACTCGTTGTGGACTGTGCAAACAATATGTGGATTACAGGCGTAATTGCCCAATCCCAAACGAAGATGCTTCATCTTGCACAAATAACCACAGCTGATACTTATTTTTCCCTTTCATTTATATCAATATCTTTCATTTGCTCTCATTTCATGATGGATGCACCTTTTATTTGTGGACTTCATTTTGTTGCTTACTTTTCCACAGGTTTTAAGCTTTGGGGTCTTCCTTTAACCATTGAATGACTGGTGGAAATTCTGATGATTTGGTTCAAACTTCGCATATGTGAATCTTATTTTGTTTGGAAGTTGGTGGACTCACTTTGTAATGTATTTTGTGTGTATGACATGTGATGTATTTCTACTTTATGAATTCTAATTTAAGTTTTTTTCTTCTTCTTCTTCTTCTTATTATTATTATATTTTTGTATCTGACTTTATGTTGGTGATAAATGGATGGAGTGTATTAGATTCTGGATATTATTGAAGAATGAGTTGAAAAGATGTGTTTTAAAGAAGAAAAAACAAACATTAAACAAAGACAAAGTCTTGTTGTTTGAGATTTTTATGTATAGAACTCGACTTGTTGCCTTTACATGACGTACAATGTCTGAAAATTGGAGGCAAAAGTGAATGGAAGTACAAATGAACTTCAAATTCTTCAATTAGACTTTGAAATAATGTTTACACACATGAAGACTAGATTTTGGCCATCCCAACAACTTCCAATTTCAATCCAATTGAGTTGGCCTAGAACAAATCTTTTTGTAATCCATCCCGACGATGTCTATAAAGGCCGTTGGAGCACGAAAACTCGTTGTGGACTATGCAAACAAGTAGGGCATAACAGGCGATATTGCCCAAACGAGGAAGATTCTTGCAATAGTATGTGATGGATTTTGATCAAAATGGCATACTTCATCAATGTTAGTTTGTAATGGACTTCTTTTTGTTGCCTAATTTCTTCAGGTTTGAAACTTCAAGGCCTTCCTTTAACCATTGACTGGTAGTAATTTTGATGATTTGGTACACACTAATGGATATGCACCTGTGATTGTGAATCTTACTTTGTTAGGAAGAGAGTGGACTGACTTTATATTGGACTTGGATTCTTCTGAAATAATTTTTTGTATCTTTTTGCCAAGGAAGTTGAAAACTTTATGGGAATCTTATGAATTGTACTTCATAAATATGTAGTCTGGGCTTTCTAATGGATCACAATATTTTGTTTTATGGACTTTAGTATTTCTGTAAGAAAGTTGGACTTCCAACCCTAATTTATTTTAGGGTCAACCAGAGAAATAGCTAAATTAAATAGTTTGATTTGAAAAATGRTCAAAATAATCAGATATCATAAAAATAGCTAAATAACAACTTAAATAACAGTTAGAGCTGTTATGTAGACATATTTACCCTCCCCATCAAAATAGGTAAATTTATCCTACCATTTTCCCTATAAATTTGTGACGAAACTATCCTTCAATAAATCTGTAGTGCACCTAAATTGTAGGAAAGAAGATAGTGAATAGATGGGGTAGTTAAAAATTAATACGATAGGATCAATTATGGAAGGGAAAGCAACTCAAATGACTCCTTCCCACTTTTGCCCTTCAACTCCTTCCTCTCACACTAGATCGATTTTGAATGTTGTTTAAATAAATAAGGTTTAAATAATTGACCGTTTGTTAGGTTAGCAACCTCCAGGGATTTTGTTGGACAAAACCTGTTTTTAGGACACCTTATAGATATGGTCACTTTGGCAGATTATATTGAAAATATAGTTTAGATTAAATAATAAATAATAAAAATATTGTCAAAATTAGATTGTCAGGTAGTTTAGTTTGCAAAAAAAAATTTAAACAAATTTTCAATCTCAAATCTCATCTTAAATTTCAAATTTCAATAAATTTAAACACAGACCTCAATTCTAATGTTTCAATAAATATCATTAGCACCTGGAACTTGTCAATTCCGATGTTTTTTTAGCTCAATGTAACCATTTTATTGTTAAATATTTAAAATTTATTGTAAAAAAATCAAGAACATCCAATTAGATTCCCGTAGAACTAATTGATACTTATGTGGTACTAATTGATACTCATTAGGAACTAATTAATTTTAATAATATTAGGAATGCGCATTCTTATTTGTTGGTTCTACCGGACAAATTTTTTTTTTGGGGCTTGATTCAATGGTTGAATCTTGTGGAGTTTTCTTTTTTTATTAATAATATAATTTTCTAAGAACTCGATTTGCTGCAATAGGAAGATTCTTTCGAGTAATGTTTCAGTAACTCGATGACTAATTCTCATATATCAAGAATTAAAATGCAGCTTCTTAGAATGTAATAATCGTGGCATATTAGTCATGAATGTTGATGGACAAGGATAACCCAGTCAAAATGGTCATCTACTCTATAGAATCCTATATCTACCCCGTTGTATTTACGTCTCTTGCTTATTTTGTAAATATCTACCCCGTCCATCGTATCTCTCCTTAGATAAATATTAATATATGTTTCCTTGATTGCTAATATGCATTTTTTATTTTGTTGGTTTTGGTTACTTTTTTGTCATATTTTATGCATTGATCTTTGTTCCGATTTAGTGATAAAGAAAGATTATGTGATGCAAAATATGACTATTTTCTGCATATAGTTTTCAATCTATTTTCGGCGTCTGAACTTTCACTACCCGTAGATGGTGTTATATACGGGGTCAGTATATCTACAACTATGCCGTAGTCGCTGCACCTGACATCTGCCAACAGGGATATGACCCACGCCACGTCCTATCTACTAACAGCCTCATAATTATCGACTTGCCAGTACCATTTTTGAAAAGTGAAAGACGTGTAATTTTTTTTCCTTCTAGAAAATAAAGATCTCTAGAGATACATTCACATAGTTTTTGTAGGATGAAATCGAATGGAATTGAAACGTGCCCGATAATGAACCCTTGATAATTGTTGTGCTCCTCCCAACTAAAATTGTGGCTAATAATGATCGCATAATGTTCCCGCGTTGATTGATTTAATTCTTGAAAAAATGTAAAAATAAAATGGGTGGGGATTAATGATACGTTGTGTAAGAATATTAAAGAAACACTGTACAGTGGAATGTTCAAACCAATTAGTTAGGTTTGTTTAAAAAAATTAAACACATTTTAAACTTGTTTGAATTAGATTTGGTGGTTTAAATTTTGTGGAAAGATTTTAGGAATTATATAGATTTGGTAAGTATTAAGTATGATATAGGTAGATTTTGTGGTTTAAATTTGGTGGAAATATTTTAGGAATTATGTAGATTTTGTAGTTAAGGTGGTTTCAATATTAACTCGATAACGTTGCTAGTTTAGGGGAGATTAAAGAGAATCTAGGAGGCATAAAACGTGGGTAAAATGGAGAAAAATTGCAAGGCCAATATGGGCATGAAATGTGTAGAGGGATAAATAAGGAATTATACACCTCCCCTCAAATCTAGGAAACCAACTTTGACCATGTCATACAATTTAGAAAAACTTTTGCCATTTTGCTTAACCATAACCTGTGAGTAGTCATCCCTAAGGATTTCCCTTTATTTTATTTTATAGAACCTTATCACAGGTGGACCTCATATAGGTGATGAATTTATAATTGAGATTTATTTAGGTCCGTTTGATAACTATTTTGTTTTTTTTTTCTATTTCTAAAAATTAAGCTTAAAAACCCTATTTCTAGTTTCGTCTATGTTTTTTTTTTTGTTTTGTTATGTAGTTTTTTATAAACATTTTTAAAATCTAGGCTAAATTTTGAAAAAAGTATAAAGGTAGTTTTTAAAATTTTGATTTTGTTTCTGAGATTTGACTCAGAATTTAAATATGTTTGGAAGAGAGGGAAAAACTTATTAATGAAATTTTACAAAAACAAACATAATTTTAAAAATGGAAAATTAGAAATGAAATAGTTATAAAATGGCATCTTAGTAGAGAAGTTGGATTTTCATCTTATAATATAGTTTATATGGACTCTACTTTGTGGATTTTATAAACCCACAATTTAAGTTTTATATGACCAGCCTGAACCAGTTGACCTATATTCTCGACTAAAAGCTTGTTGTCTTATATTCTCGACTAAAAGCTTATTGCAAATTTTGAAATTTTAAAGGATCGGATGGATAATTTTAAATTTGATAATACTAAACCATTATTTATTTGCTTATGTATTTTTGTTGATAATGGAACTTAGGCAGGTTTTAATTTGTGCAATCAAAATTATTTAGATTTTTCTAAATTTCAACCTTTAATAAGCTTCAAATATTAGTATTGACAAGTTATATATCCACAAATTCAGACAGAACTAAACCCTCCTCTCTTCACAATATTTCCTAAAACTATTTTTTCATTAAAAAAAAATTCTTTTTCATTTTTGTTTTTGTTTTTTTTCTATTGGGTGGGTGTCGGCATTGGAAGGAAAAATAGCTGCCCTCCATGTGTACAGTTTGCCACTTGTTGCTCCACTTGTACTCCCCCGCCGTGAGCGGCGGAGCCAACCTTCTTCCGTCGCTTTGGCAGCCCACTCGTCGCCTTAGGCGACGACGAAATCTCCGGTGAGGAGCGCTTCGACGTGACTCGAACCGGTTCGGGTTCACCGGAGTTCACACGGAGAGGGAAATTGAGCAAAGCTCGAGAGCCCCGCATTCGGTAAGCAGCTCGGTCATAGGCTAGAGCGGCATCCTCCGCCGTCTCATAAGTTCCAAGCCAAACCCTTGCACCATTTTTCGCCGGATCTCGAATCTCCGCCGCAAACTTCCCCCACGGCCGTTGCCGCACTCCTCTGTAATGCTTCCCTTTCTCCGGAACCACCACCGGCTTTGCTGCCGCATCGGGAAGCATCGGCGGGAAGCTCACCGGAAGCCTGACCTCCGGCTCCGACTTTACCACCGCCGAGAACCCGAAATCGCAACTTCCGAGCAACCCGGGATTGAGCGACGGAACCCATCCAGCACCGACGGCGTCCCGGAGAACGGCGGCGAGAAGCATATCTTCAGAGTCGTCCAGTTTGAGGGGCAAATCGCCCCAATTGTCAGCGAGACATGGGATCAAACTATTGAAACTACCAGTCCGGTTAAAAATGGGAGTGGCTCTGCCGCCGGGAACGGGAACGGCGGCGGCAGGCTCCGATTCCCCCAGCAAGTGGCGGCGAATGGGGTCGAGAAAAGCAAAATCCGGCTCTGTTTTACCACTCTGGTACATAATTGCTGTGAATCTTCAAAACCCAGTTTCCAAAATGGATCTAATAGTGAAGTTTAGAGAGAAAGATGAGAAATTGGTTGGAGTTTAATGAATGGGAATGGGAGAGGTTAATATAGGTGGAACAGATACATGCACATAGATTATTGAACTTTGAAGTTTGAAATTAAAGCAGTCTTTCTTCTCTTTCTTTCTATTATTTTAAAATTTGGTTGAAAATTCTAATGATTAAATTTATGTTGGGAATTTGTTATCTGAGGGTTCTTCTGGTTCTGGGAAGTTTCTGCAAAATGGGGCAACTTGGGTGGTGGGAGGTGGAAGACAGATAATTAATTTTAATTTTATGTGCACATGTTTTTATTTTTAATGTGAAATGACGGTGTTACCCTTTAGCAAATTGTTGATTTCCTTTTTAGGAAGGTCAAGATGTCATCTTTTGTTCCTTTTTTTTGGTTGGTATTTCAACTTTACTTTTGTTTGTTCTTCATGTGGCTTCTAAATTTTGTTGATCTTCTGTGTTCTTTTATGTAAAAAATATGGTTCTTTGGAATGGCAGCGGTATTGATCCATATGTTTAGTTTATATAATCTTTATTAAAATATGGATCTGGATGAGTTATTTACACTCTGTTTGATAATTATTTTGATTTTAGTTTTTTTATTTTTAAAAGTAGGTTTGGCTCCCCCTTAGTATATTTTTAATTTATTTTATGAAAAGTATATTTGAATATTTAGTCAAATTTCAAATATATATAAATTATTTTTTTCGTTTTAAAAATTTAGTTTAGCTTCGTTTGTTTAAAAAATAAATTACAAGTAGTATTTCTAAATTTATTTTTTTAAAAATAAAATGGTTGTGAGATGAGRTCTTAGTTAAACCATTATGACTTGGAGATAATTTTCTAATAGTTATTTAAAAGCAAAATACTACATCAAGCCATTTTCTTAAATCCTACAAAAATGGGGAGAGATTAATAAAATTTTAATCTTTCGATAGCAATGTATTAATTCCCTCTCATAAATTGTTTCACTTTCTATTGTTTTTCTATTATCTACTTGTTACATCATAGCAAATCAATAAACATTTGTCTAATTAGAATCACAATTTAAAATTTTTTAAATTTAAAGATTGAATTTGTAATTTTACTATATTTTTTTTATCGTTTCATTATTAATTTCTACAATTATGCAAAGTCATTACCTTTATCTTTTCTTCCACAAACCAATTATACCATTGAAATTGAAACTCTAATTAAGATTGCAATCAAAGCTACCCACTAAGCTAAATTCTTTGAAGATCCCTAATATGGTTAAAATATGAAATCTCACTTTATTTATTTTTTCTAATATTTTTAAATTGGAACCCACTAAGAAAGTACACAACTTTATCCATTTAGAAAACCCTAAAAGGTGGAATTAAAAATTGAAAAAAAAAAACCTAAAAGGAACCTTTTTTGGAGCTAGTGGCAATCTCAATTTTGAGTGTGGATGATATTGCCACTTCATTGGTCAATCACCTTCTTGCCCCTCATTCTTGCAATTTGGTGACTGTAATTCAAGGATGCTAAAGGAAAAATATTGCCCTTTCTTATCCATTTGTCTTTATTCTTATATATCATTTATTTCATATATTTGTTATTTTCTTAGCCAAATATTTCATTTATTGTTTCTTATTTTTTTTAAAATGTTTGAGAATTGTAAGCGTTTAATAATCATTATTGTTTCTTGTTTTTCATTTTTTTAAAATATTTTCAAAATTATAGTTAAAATATTAGAAACAAATGTTTTGAGTTTTTATCAAAAATAGAGATCACAAAAGTATTATTTTATCACTTTTATTTTTAAACTGCATAAATAAAAATAAAAAAATGTAAATATAACATAAAAGAAAAATTGAATATTTAATTTCAAAAATCAAATTTCATATAAAATTTTTACTTTTTTTAATCTAAAATTTTAGAGGGTTATTTATGTGCGTCAATGTTAGTAGATATCATTTCAAATACTACTTGACATTCACTTTTACTCTTTTAGTTTAGTATGCGTGAGGATGTGAATTCGAACTTTTAATCTCTTGATCAATAGTATATACATTAACCAATTAGTTATATTTAAGTTGATTCGATATTTTATCAATAATATATAAAACTAATATCATTACTTAAAAAAAATAAATTTGTTCCATTCTTCCATTTTTGTTGAAGTATTACAACTGTCGGCTGAAAATTTGCTGCGCCAAACAAAGGGCGAATTGACCAAAATGCCCTACCCATCATATTTGATTTTGACCACTAAAAGTAGTTTTGTTTTATAGTCAATAAGCCTCCATCTGGTCTCCACGTGCCAAACTGCCGCACGTGCGCCGCTACGCAGTCTTTTTGTCGGACTAATATTCCAAATGCTAGAAAAATAGAAATTGAATTTTGAATCCTCGATGCCATTTGGGAGTATTATTTAGGAACTTTAACATTATATTTTTCATTTAAAAAAAAAAACTTTTTCAAAATTGTTTAGAAATTTTGAAAAAAGTCCTATTTTTAATAAAATCAAGTTTCCTTCTTTTTTTTTTCTTTAAATAAAAAAAAGGCTACCAAATGCAACTATGTGTTCTTTATTTAGAAAAATGAAACAAGGAGCAAAAAAAGCATTACCAAATGGTCCAAACAAACTATTAATCTTCTTATTTTGGTTCATCATTTTAAATATTTACCGCATATATAAAAAACAATAAATAAAAAATACATAATTTTTTTTTGATTTGTTTTAGGCTTGATGAATATGTTTAAATGGAAAAAAACAATGAGAATATTTACATTTTAATGGTAATTTCGGTTAATTCCATAATTTGTAAAACATATAATTTTAGTTGCAATCACTTGAAAAATAGAATTGTTTGTTTTAAATTAAGGATTATTGTGATTCGAGAGAATCCAGCTACAAGAGATGGAGAAGGAAAAATTAATCATGCTATCACAACTAATAAGAATATAGCTTAAGACAATTTATTTATTAAACAAAAAGTCGAAAAAAAAACCCTTATAGAATCAACCTAATTGAGTAAGCTCTATTGGGAATGTGAACGTAATTTTACATCGATTAAAATTGACGAAGATATTGGTATATAAGTAAGAACAACGATGTTAGTTACTTCAATAGTTAATTTCATTAGTTTCGATAAATTATTTGACAAACAATTTTAACTTTTTTTCCTTTTTAAAACAAGTTAATTAAACTGATTTACTTACACTTCCTACTCAAAAAGGCAAGTAAAAATTTAAATCCTAAAAACATGAGATGGTAAAATTATAAATATGATAGTAAAACATGAGAAGAAATAGGAAGGTGAGAGGGTGTTTCTTATAATAATATAAAACTACTCAATTGGATAACTTTATTTCAAATTATTATTTAAATGAAATAAAGTATATATTAATTCCTTGCAAATTTTAAATTGTCTTGATGGTTTGGGAGTAGATATTGAATAGAATGTCAAACCATCCATTTCACTCTTTTTAAAAAAAATAAAAAAATTAAAGTTGTGGAACACATGTTGAATTTGCCAAGTGGCCCTTTTTAATGGAATTTTCTAATTCTATACCAATCAATTTTGCAATTTTTGGAATGTTCCAATTTTATTATTATTATTATTATTATTATTATTATTATTATTATTTCTTTTATATAAAAACACTTCAATTGAATAAAATTAGTTACCCAGAAGAATCTATCATTGATTCAAATCATCTCACACTCCCTTATCTAGTTAGAGAAAAAATGTAACTAAAATTTAATAAAATTTAAGGGCTCAATAAATGCTATCGTTGAATTTATAATATAAAAAGATTACAAAGGAAATATTTTTCTAAAAATACAAAATAAAATGATTTGGAGATTATGCTTTAATGAATTAACAACAGCTCTATGGTCAATAATTAATTATATTCAATTAAGTCATTATTTAAGTAGATAAAAACAAATTTGTAAGTCAATAAGAATTTGTAATCACCTTATCGACAAATTTACAAATGGGACGAGAAAATTTAAGATTAAAAAATAAAGTTAAAAAAATGAATTATTGATACGTTATTTAATCTATGCTATAAGAGTTACAAGAGAGAAACTTCTTAAAAAAACAGGTTTTTTTTTAATCTTTCTTACAATTCTTTTAAATTATAATTTTTTTTTATTTTTTAATATATTATTTATTGCTAACATTCTCGTTTAACTAACTTTTTATGTTTTCTGTTTCTCTCTTTTTTTTTAAACATTCTTAAAATTGTATAGAAATTTTGAAAAAAACAAAAACAAGTTTCTTGTTTATTGTTTCCGTTTTCAATTTATTCCAACATGAACAATTTTGTTTATGACTATGTTTAAATATAAAAAAGGACGCGAGAGTGTCTAACAAGTAAATTTATAAAATGCAGCATGTTTAAATAATTTATCTATGATAAAACAATGACAATGATGAGAATGGACTAATAATAAAACATGTGGAGGAAAAAAATGAATGGACAAAACTAATACAATTAAAATAAACTTTGATAAAATATATATACAGAATTAAAAAATTGTGATGAACTAATGGTCAATAGTTAAGACAAAATTAGCTTCATTTTATTAAGTTTTTTATACAACTGTTTACCACTTGATTTAATTTTTTAACAACAAAATTTAATTGCATTTGAATACAGACCTTTCTTTTTTTGTGGGGTGAGTTTGAATAGACAACTAAAGTTATTTATACAAAATAAATAAACAAAAAAATAATAATTGATAATAATAATAATAATAATAATAATAATAATAAAATAAATAAATAAATAACATCGCTTGGATGTATTATGCTTTATGAGAATAATTCCTGGACTGGTTAGAAAATTATTTTGAATTTTTTTAATAATTGATGGAATGTGATGTAAATGTTAATGTTATTTTGGACGTTTAAATTGCTATTTACAAATATTTGATTTTGACATAAAACTTAATAAAAGATATGCAAGCCAAATTCACTTACCATTTTCTAAATGTTAATGTTATTTCATACGTCTAGATTATGTACGTTTAATCGTTGCTATTCACAGTACCATAATAATGACTTGTGTGATTTATAAATACTACAAAAATGACTATTTATGCTTTTACAATAAATACCCTCGTTGAACCTGATAAAGYTGTACACTCCTTCTTCTTTGTTTTTTCAAAATAACAGTGCCGACATTTCCTCTTCTTCTTGTGTGTGAAAAGTTTTAACTTAGTAGAGAAAGATGAACCATTTATAATTTGCAYRTGTTTTTCTTTGTAGGTTAYGATGGTGGTGTTGAAATRTTACAACCAGCAATTCAATACTGTGAACTTGTAGCGTGTCTTTTCTTTGCCTAACAATACCATTTCAACATTGTCTTCTTGAGTCCATTAATTCTAAAGCCTTATCTTCACGCCAGCATCGCAATGCTCGGATCAATATCTCAATGCTACCTCTTCAATCTAAAGAATTGTTCAAACTCCACAAATCTAAGAGGAGATCACAGCAACTAGACAAGAAAGACATCTCTYCATTATATGTTCAAAGCTAATAGACAACTTACAAGAGGAAGAGGAAAGCTGTCCAATGACCCATTTGCCCACCCTTTTTCATTTCATTTTGGAGCTTTCTGTCCAAAAAGTTTATGTTTTTTTGTCATTTTGCTCTCAATATTATTTGGGGTAAGAAATCAACCAAACATAAATAACTAAACAAACAAATAAATCACCCTTTATTCCAAAAGAAAATAAACAAAGTTACCTTTTTCTCCAAGGGCATGAGAATAGGGTGAAGAATAATATATCCATTCCTATATATGAAATTACTAATTAGATCATTGATAACAAATTCGGAGAAGAAAATGAATGGTAATGGCTAAAATAAGTATTCATAAAGATTTAATAATGTACATAAAAAATTAAATTAGTATTAGGAGATTATAATGCAAACCTAAATTTGTTTAATTATTTTTTATTTATAAAACTTATTCCACGTAAATAAAACTGATTAAACATCTGTTGGAGTTGTAGGTATAAACTATCTCATATTTATAATTTAATACTCTAAAAAAAGTTTTTGACATAGGTCTTCCTTACTTATTTAAATAATATTTTTATTTTTTAAAATTTTATATTTGGTCTCTAAATTTTTAGAAATATATCTATTTAGTTCTTATACTTTAAAACTGTTTTACTAGGTTACTAAAATTTCCAARAACGGTGTCTATCTAATTTATAGACTTTAAAATTTTTTAATAGGTTATTGAATTTTCAATTTTTTGTTCAATARATCTCATGTGTTAACTCAATTAGTTTAAGAAAAATATATAGGTATTTATCCGTAAGCACCAATATTTTCTAACCACCGTCAAATTTTTTTGACAAATAAAAGAGAGAGTAGCAGAAAAGACTTTTCAAAACAATTRGGAGTTAAAAAATCAATTAGGAAACAAATTAAAACAATCTTAAAAATTCAGAAATTTGGTAGAAATTTTTAAAAAATATAGGAACCGAATAAATTCAATAGCCGAGCTTGTAATTTATAGTTCARCCGTTAGATTTCTGAAAGCATAAGAATTAAAAAGTTACAAATTAAAACGACATAATATTTTGATACGCAAGGTGATAACATATTTTCAATCCAATTTTCAATTTCAACCTTTTGAAAACACGGTTGGGGAAAATCTTGGGCAATTTGGTGATAAATCATGGAAATTTAGGGCATTTTCATAATCTCCATCCCCATTGATTGTGGTCTGGATTTGGAGACAAAAACACCAGATTTCGTTCAGCCCTTTCGATTCTTCGTTTTGAAATTTTACGTAATTTGATTTTGATTTTCATTTACATCCGGAAAGTTGAAGGGATCGGGATCCCTAAATTCATCGACCTCTTTCAGCTCCTCCACATTGATTCTCGCATTCGATCAAATGTCCTCAAATTCTGTTCAATTTGACCCATTTCGATGTTTCTAGGGTTTACTCTTTGAATGCTAGTTCGATTTTCAAGGTTCCTCTTTGTTTTTGCAAATACTGGATTTGCAGTTTCGTGTCTTCAGGTTTCTGCCAAGACTGGGATCTTTCCGCCCTTTTTCTCGGGACCCAAACTGATGCTCAAGGTTTTCTCCCGCGCTCTGAAACTCTTTACTTCACAGGAAAAATTCGTCCCAGTTCTCAGGTTTATAGTGATTCTGCAGCTACTTCTCTTCTGAATTTTCAGGTCTCTTGAAGGGTCGGCCTCGGAGATGATTGGTCTGTAATTTTTGGCGGAATATCGAACCGGGCTGGCTATTAGACACAATGCGTATGTTTCCACTGAGATCTAGCCCGGACTTAACCGAGGACAAGGAGCAGGGCAGCAGTCATGCTTTGTTATATCTTAATGTCTACGATCTTACTCCTATAAATAACTATCTCTATTGGTTTGGGCTCGGAATCTTTCATTCGGGCATTGAGGGTATGTAAATTTCATACTTCTTTATTCGGTACTTTCTCCCTCTTGACAATACAACTGTTGCTGTGTGCTCTGTGTTGATTTTTATTTTCAGTGGGAAGGTTTGTTTGCAATGGGATAGRTATTGGTTATCCTGGGATCAATATATGAAGCATGGATAATGAAAATGGTATATTTTAGTTGCGTTTTATTGGGAGGGAGCTGGAATTAGTTGAGCTGGGATATTTGTTTGGGACGTACCTTTGAGTTCACCCATTATTTAAACCATTATGAGGTAGTCTTAGTATACAATCCTATTTTTATGTTTTCTTGACTTGATAGGATATAGGAGAATTCAGAGTATGATCTATTGAACTATCATGGTGTCAGATTATTGGCACTTATCTGTGAGAAGTATGAGTGTTTGCTTGAAATAGTCTAATGAATGACACAAGTAAAGTGTTCATTTAATTTACTAGGGATATACAAGTTGAGGATGACAGATTCCATGGAACTGTTGCAAATATTAGTGTGTATGCTGTCGCTTGACAGTGGTTCTGTAGGAAACCAGTGCTTTCTAAATAATGTGTAACCGATTCTGTCTTGGTTCTGTTGAGGATGTGATCATGCCAGTGAATTGTGCCTTATATATGATGTTTATATTTAAGAAGTCATTTCATGCTTGCACATTGTGTTGGTTGTGACATACAAGTATAGCTAGAAGCCATTTGGGGAACTACCCATTCCTCAAGTTTTATTGTCAATAAATGCTCTACCAKTTGAGAATTCATTGCCAATCTAGATGCATTGTTCTGTTTGCATTTTAACCCAGCATAAAGTCATTCTTACCTAATTTGATACTCAGTTCATGCCATGGAGTATGGCTTTGGAGCACATGAATATCCTACCAGTGGGGTGTTTGAGGTAGAACCAAAAAGTTGCCCCGGATTTATCTTCCGACGGTCAGTGCTATTGGGAAGCACTGATTTGTCTCGTGCAGAATTTCGATCATTCATGGAGCACCTTTCTTCAGAATATCATGGTGACACATATCATTTGATTGCCAAAAATTGCAACCATTTTACAGAAGAAGTCAGCATGCGACTAACTGGGAAGTCCATTCCTGGATGGGTGAATCGGCTTGCTCGATTAGGTGAGAAATCTTTTCTTCTCTTCAGCATGCAATCTTGTGTCTTGCTATAAGCTTGGTTGGAATTAATTCGGTAACTATGTGTATTGCAATAATGCAATTGCAGTAGCTTGAACATCTCCTTACTCTTAGATAGGCTAACCAAGGTTTATAATTTCCTGGGCCAACTGATACTTCAAAACTAGGTTCAATATTATTTTTTGTCTTTTAGGCTTTTACTAAACTTCCATTTTTAAGTTTTAGACCTTTGACTGCTCTACTTTGGTCCCTCWTTTTTTTTCAAAATTAGTAACACTGTTAACCTCTCTGGAAATATTTTTAAATTTGGGTTGAACAAGAGGTGTATGACAATGCAATAAATAGTGTGAACTTTGATTAAACGCATTAAAAAAATGTGTATAGAGTAAATAATTTCTGGTTTTGTTCTATACCTAATCTGTAGTTCTTGATTTTGCTGAACCCTGTGTAATTTTAGGATTCACTTATATTTATTTCCCATCTTAGAATGGCATTGCCATCTACGTGACAACACCTTTTGACTCGTAAATATTAGTGATGAATGGAAAAATAGTTCTTTTTCCTGATGTATCTGTGATCCATGAGCTTCTTGTGTAGAAAGACGTTTTGGAGAACACCAATATATATCATTGTATTTTGCAGAGGGTTCTTGATGCTTGTATAGTTCTTTTGCCTGATGATACTATTGTTTGGAGTTACAGGTTCATTCTGCAATTGTCTTCTTCCAGAAAGCATTCAGATTTCAGCAGTGAGACATCTTCCTGATCATCCAGCATATTCTGGTATGGTTCTTTCTATAAACAATATTTTCATATGGGTGTGTATATATGCATTCCTCACTTGAGAAGTAATTGCTTTTTGGTGTGAAAATATCTAGGATGTCAAGGCATCTTTTTTGTGATTAATTCATCATAATTTTACTTGAATTTACATGTGAAATGAACATACTGGTGATGGAAATGAAATAGAAGCACTCTCTGTATCACTCTTAAGGTTTATGTTCTTTATCGTCCTCCTTGTTAATCCTGTGATCTGCGTATCGTAATTCAGATGACGATGACGATGACGATGGGTCAGAATCTCTTGCATCTTCTACATCAGCTAGGAGCGAAGAGGAGGAATTGGATCATCATCTACTGATGACTCCCAATGCTGATGTAGCATTCCTAAAAGAGAAACCAGTGAAGCTAGCTAGAGAACCTGTTTAAATTCACTACCCTCTGGTTCCAACTTCTTTGCCTTGGTCTATCTATTGTTTGTATTTGTGATATATCAATATTGAATGCAACATTTGATGAGGCCAAACTACTTGAGATCCAAATGTTTGGTGATATGATGATAATAACCTAGAGTTGTAGGCTGTCAGTATCATTTGGGGAATGTAAGGTGAAAAAAAAACACTCCGTCGAGGTGGTTGAAATGAAACTGTAATCAATATTGTAAAATATCAGCAGATTTCATCAAGTTTATGCTGTACTCTTATTAACTTCTAGTCACACATCACCATCATAGGAGGACCTGCCATAGGGCRTCGTATTAAAAACTCATTTCATGGCTGCCACCAGACAAAGGGTAGCAGACAAGGACGAGGACGACGCCGCAACCACAATAGAGGTATTCGAAAATGATCTTGGTGAGTTTTAGAACTTAGACTTACAATGTTATAATTGAAGTTTACTACATTACAGAAGGAAACTCTTCCCTTGATAAATAGAATACATGACAGCTACTCTTTTGTGCTTTCTTTTTTTGCTCATTCCTTACAAATCTATCAGAAGCAGGCTTAACGGAGATTGAAGTGCTTCACTGACTGATGATCCACCAACTTCACCAGGAACTGGAAGTGAATTTACCACAAAATTCAATCAATTAAAATAGAAAATTTACGAGAAAATAGTAATGTAACATGTTAAATAGAACTAACCTGTAAATTCTGGCAGTAAAATGATCCTTCACTGTCTTTGTTGCTCAAAATAAATTATATTTCTTTAATGACAAGGATCCATCYCATTGCTGATTAGTCTAAGACCCATTCAACTCCTGAACTTGACAGTCCAATTTTTTCATGTATTTTGTCTCTAACTCCAAGTTTAGGACAGTTCCCAATATAAGCAGTTCTTAGTTTAAGGCCAATGTTGGTCAACTCAGGCAATTCTAACAGAGCCAGCTTGTGCAACTTCTCTAAAGTACACCCTTCTTTGGATTCACATCTACAAACATTCTGCAATCTATCACAAAATTTTACATGGAGAATCTCGAGGCTCTTCGAAAGCTTAGAGGAAATGAACAGAGTCTCGWGCAGTGGGCAACAATTTGTATACAACTGTTTGAGATTTTCGAAACTCTCGAATTGGCAGCCTGTAGAAGCACACTCCTAAAAACAGGAAGGTTGGATATCCATAGATAGAGTAATTTCCAATAACGTAAGTTTATCCTCGTCTTGCATTAGATTCTCCAGGTTGGTACAACTYCGAATCCAACAGCCTTTCAAAGCATTCACATTGCTCAACTTAGATAAGCTTTTTATAAATCATTTTCAACCAGGGAAGCATATTCAATTTGCATAAAGTAGATAATCCTATCTTTAAGGACATAGATTTCTCCATCTTCCTCTCCTTTTAAAGAAGGGCATACAGAGTTGAAAAATTTCTTGAAGCATAAGTTCCATATCTGAGGTATTTCCTTGATAGTTGTGAAAGAATCCATATTTCTCACAATAATGAAAGGCCTGTTTTCAACATTTTGAAGTTCAGTAGGCATACCACAATAATGGATTCTTCTTCTTGACTCCATATCCCCAATGTGCAGTCCAAAAATCTCCATTCTCCTCTGCAATATGATTTAAGGCTTTAGCAATGATCATCAGAGTAGGCCTGTCTCCATAATTTTGTATAATTTTTTCCTGAAACTTTGGGTTGTTCTTAACCTCTTCTGTGACCATATCGCTCAATAGAGTCAATGGAGATGCTTTGCCCTGTATCTGACTCCATAGAGATGCTTGCCTTTTCTCTCACCCCATACCTAACATAGATACTTTTATTACAATTATGATAAAGGTAAAAATGCTAAATGTATGCTTTTCTAGTATAGCAGTATGTTTTGATCAAGGATATATGTCTTAACCAGTTGAGCTATGTTTAGGTTGACGGTCGAATTTGATTTGAGTGTTTGTTATTCTTATGTGTTTCAACATTTTTCAATTATACCCCTTTCAGTTGGAGAACTGTGGATGTCAGAATTGGATAATAATAAACTTACGTAACATGATATTTAACGAGTCGTTAGAAACTTAAACGAAGAATTAAGCTACTTGAAATAAAATTTTTTATTTTTTAGTACAACGTGCGGGGTGGGGTCGTCGATTTTTTCTTCTTAGATGGTCTAATTCTTATGACAATGACTTATATAAACTTATCATTACCAATGTTAACATTTTTGCAGTGGTTACAGAGTTGGTAACAGATCGTCAGGGTTGAGATCCATTTCAGTACACAACCAAAAATGATTTTAGAGATGAAAAATGTGGATGATGGAGGGAAAGTAAATTACCGGAAAATTTTAGTCAGATTTGAACGGAAAACAGTTGTGGCCTACAGATGAGAAACCTTCTTGACTCTGTCTTCTTCTTCACCCTACTTTGTTTTATGTCGCCATTCCATAATTATAAAACAGAAATCTAAATCTAGATTTGACTGAGATAAAAATATTTTATTCTTTTTATTGGGTCGTTTGAGAAAATTTCCTTTAAATGGTAATTCTATTTAACCATGTATATGAAGTTGGAAAATTTAAGCATTTAATTACAAATTTCTTTCAAATAATAGTGAGATATTAAAATACTAATAATAACAAGTTTGGGAATAATTCTCTAGGCTAGGGTTGTTCACGGGTTAGGGGGTTTTTTGGACCAACCCAAATTTTCGGGTTGGCCATATGTGGAACCCGACCCAATCCAATTTGATGGCCAACCCAACCCAAAAAATTTGGGTTAGGTCGAGTTGATATATAAAACAAAAGAAAAAAAAAGAAAACGAAGAAGGTGCCACTGCTCATACCTCCTTCATTGACAGCGACCGAAATTGATGTGGATGGGTGGCAACGGTGCAGCCGACGGCAGGGCGGCGACCGACTTTGCAACGAGTGGACGACGGAGGCGACGATTGTACGGTGGGCGAATGGCAGAGTGGCGACAGTGAAAGCTTGAGTGAGAGGAGAGATGGAGAGATTAGAGAGATTCAAAATGAGGGAAGAAGATGAAGACGAGAAAAGAAGAAAACCCTTGAATGAAAGGTTAGAAATTAAAGATGAAAAGTTTAAAGGTATTATAATATATATATCTGAAAAAAAAGTAAAACACTATCGAGTCAAGTCAACTCAAGACTCAACCCGATCCAGTTGAGTAGGGAATTTTCCAACCCAACCCAAACCGAGGTTCAATTGAACCCAACCCAACCCTTGGGTTTTTTAAACACCCCTAATTAAAGCCATAATCTCATTAAAATATAGTGGAGAATTTTGTGGAGGTGGAGATTGAGATGAGGATATGGAAGTCTTCCATGTCCCCGTCTTTTGAACACTGTCCTACGTAGCGTGAGAGATTAGATACTTGAAAATAAGTTAAAGAACTTAAAAAAAAAATTAATAGTGATGAATTCGAATCTCTGGCATTTAAGGCAAAGAAATATTTTGATTAGTTAATCTAAGCTCTTGTTGACAATGAGCTAAGAAAATGAGATACGAAGTTACAGGATAAATTAATTTTCAAGTTCAATCAAATTATACTTTAATTGACACCATCGTTGAAAGATAAAATTTATGACTCAAATCTTTTTGTTTTAAGAATATTTCAATTATAAATTACAAATYCGAACTAGATAAGCATTATTATTGACTATTTGAGATATTTTCGAAGTCAACTTTTGTCTTGGAAATAATTTGCAATTTTATTGTTTAGTTTTTAAATTTTTTGTTTTTAATATCGACAATATTAAAGAAAAATTATCTAAATATTTATCAATAGAGCATGATGGGACAAATAGTTTAATAAATTAATAGATAAGATACAGTAATATGATGATGATAACACAAACACAATAAAAATATAATTTTAAATTTCTTCTAAATTTTAAATACTAARTAAATACCATTCTAAAATCCTTGCGATTAAAATTGTAATTTGACATTTTATCAAAATACAACTTTTATATTTTTGTGGACTAACATAATTTCCCAAGAACATGGCGATTAATTAAACTTTGAAATATTTTATCAAAATACAGCTTGACATTGAATTTATGGTATTCACTCTCAAATTATTATATATTATTATTATGATTAGACCTTAAATTTTGAAAATTGTATATTGACTTGTCTATTATTTTATGAAAATATAGTTTAATATTCTATTATTATAATTAGTCAAGCGAAAACATGTGAATGCCTACCTTTATTTTATTCAATGGCCAATTTTCTTACACATCATGCAAGATCACCACTGACATGTCAGATCAAATAATCTTAAATGTAAAAATTTTATTAGAGTCAAAATTGAAATTTTAGAGCATAATTATAAAGATATTTTTAAATTTCATAACTAAATAAATACAACCCTAACCATTAATGTTTATTAAATTTTATTTTAATTTTTAAACTTTCAAAAAATTTTAGAATAATCTATAAACGTTGTAGTTTGTTTTAACATGTCACCAAACTTTCAAAATATTTATTTTACTCCCCATAACCCTTATTATGATTTCGCCTTTTTTACCTATAAATAACTTTATTCTCAAAGTATATGTATTAATTTATGAATAATACTTAGGAAGTCATCAGTCATCTCTTGCTTGCTGACCACCATTAAACTTTATTTTTTCTCTTTTTCAAAGAAATTATGAGTTATCAAATTTTTTAGCGACAATCAAGAAGAAAGAGAGATACTGTCATGGTAGTATTTAAGTATCGTTATTCATTTACTAATTTGGGATTGTATGAGCTTTTTAAAAATCTATAGTACATTTTTTTAATGTTGAGAGCTCCTTATWTCTCAGAAAAGAAAATTTCTCTATTTTTATATTTCATTAACATATATTTTAACGGTGAGTTCGATTGTCCATCCTACATATTATACTAAAAAAAATATATTTCATCATCTTAATTTTCAAACATTTAATTGTGGTGGGATAAGTCACACCCACGATATTATCCTTGAAATTTAGCTTCTCTTCCATGAATTTTCTTTCGCCGCCGGCCCCACAAAAAATCGTGGGTCCTCGTCGTCGAGATAAAAAAAAGGACAGAGAGAAAAGAAAAAGAAGGTTCTTCTGCCATGGATGGCTACACTAAAATTCACAGCTCCAACAAAAATGGCAGTCGTCTTCTTCTTCAACGCAAAAATCCAAATCCAAATCGGCAGCTGCTTCTGAAAACTAAAAGCTTCTCCCACTCATTCCGCCATTAAAGCACCTGAACCCACCGGAGCCATGAACGGCGAGCTGCAGAATTCCGAGATCCATCCCGCCGCCGAACCCACAACCAGAATCTTCAAATGGGTTTCGGAAACCGTCGACAGATCCGCCGTGCACGGCGTCGAAAACGAACTCCTAGTTCTGCAGAAAATGCTGGGGAAAAGACACGGCGGCAACGGCTTCAAGGCCATCGGAATCGTCGGAGTCGGAGGGATTGGGAAATCGACGATTTCCAAAGCGCTTCTCCAAATCCCAGAAGTGCAATCAAAATTTCTCCCAAGGATTTGGGTTTCCATGTCGAAAAATTCCACCGGAGATCCCAAAATCGCTCTGTTGAACAGAATCCTAATTTCTCTCGGCGAGAACTCAAATTTTCTCGCCGGCMAAACACTCGCCGGCCTCCTCCACGCCCTCCGCCTGCAGCTGAGGGGAAAACGCTATCTGATTGTGCTGGACGACACAAAAGAACAGCAAACTGAAGAACAGCAAAAATGGTATTCAGATCTGAATTCTTGTTCCGAGGAAATTGGGGAGAAATTGAGAGATGGGTTTCCGAAAGGGGATGGAGGGGCTGTGATCGTGACGAGCAGGAGCCACAGGACGGCAAAATTGATGGTGGGGGAGCAAAATCTTCGCTGTTTGAATGCCCAGAAAGACCCAGAAAGTTTCTGGGAAATTTTCTGGCAAGAAGTCGGGAAAAATGGAGGCTCCATCCAAAATCCTTCGAATCTGAAGCAACTGAAAGTGGAATTGTTAAAGAAATGTGGTGGCCTCCCATTGACTGCCAAGATGATGGGGCAGATTAAGCTCCAGCAAGAAAATTAGAAATTAAAAAGTTTGATTTTTTTTTCYTTTTTTATCATATTGCAATAATTGTATGGGTTTCTATATTTTGGGAAGTTTTGAGGATGAAATTCTTGGCATTAGAAAAATAGAAGGTGATGATTGATATAAAATTAGTTATATTATACCTTATAAGTGGGTCTTTTTGAGTTGGGTTTATTAAATAAATTTCGAACTAAATTCATAATCTCGAAAGTTGTGAAATTTTTTATTTTGTCTCTAATTGTTGTAATTTTGGATAGGTTTAGACATTTAGGTTCCACTRTTTTGTTCTTGATTTTCTATTTTTGAAAATTAAACTTATAAACCATAYATTTTTAAATCATTTTTAAAATTTAATCTAAATTTTAAGAATTAGAAAAGTAGTTTTTGAAAATTTTCTAAGGGATCAAATATGGTTTTAGGTGAAAACATTCTAAATAAATGGTAAGCAAACAAAAGCAATTTTCAAAAACAGAAACAAAAWAATAATCAAAACAGATCAAATTTAGTGTTGTTTTTTCTTTCAAACTCGGTTCACTAGTTTGTTTGTTGCATTTCTCCATGTTTGCTACGCCACAAAATCCAACTGTCATATAACTTTTTGAAGTTCCTCTTAATGTATTCATGGCATAAATTTAATACGAGTATTTTTTACGTTATATTTGAGTTTGACTTTAATTTTATTTTATGTGGTATATAAAAATACATACTTACAAGAGCGTACAATTATTGTWAGGCCAAATAGAGTAAACCAATCAAAACGAGCATAACTCATAATTGACACATAYCTCAAACTAAGAGGTTACTAAAAAAGAGTAAACCAATTGTTGCCGTGCAGGCTAATGGGCTTGTTTGACATCTAACTCAATAACATAATTGCAAATTATATTGAACTGGGATATAATCTATGAGTTAAAAAGTTAAATTTATATTTGAAAAGTTATTTTATTTATTACCTAGTTTCGTCTCTAAACTTGTAGAGTTGTGTTTAATACGTCTTTAAATTTTTCAATTTATGTTCAATAAGTTTTTTAACTTCGAAAAATGTTTAGCAAGTTTCTAAACTTTCAATCTTGTGAAAGATCAAAATTGAAAGGTAAAAGACCCATTAGTAATAGATCTCTGAATTAAAAAAAAAAAGTCTTATAGACTAAGGATATATTGATATAAAAGTGAAAGTTGAAGGACTTATTAAAACACTTTTTTGGAGTTTACTAACCTATTAAACACAACTTTAAAAGTTTAAGATATGTTAGATACCTTTTAAAGACTAGAAACTATTAGRTATAATTTTAAAAGCTAAGAGACTAAACTTGTAATTTCAAATTATTGGTTTGCTAATAACATCAACATCATAAATCTAGATTAGCGCACATAAATTTGTAAATATTTGTCGATCTTGTTATAGTGAGCAAAAATGGTCCAAGCGAGACGAGAGGCCGGACCGTGAAGCCCGAGATCATCGACAAAGAGGGTCGACCCATAACGAAAGTGCCAGCCCATTCTTGAAGACYGACCCACCTCGGCGCCGGTTTCTAGTCTTGGCCTCCGGGTCAGGACGCCACCCGATCTCTTTCGCTCGGTTCCGATGTCAACCCACCGAATATCCCTACTCGAGGCCGAGCCCGAAATTCTCTCTCTTCTGTTGTCTACGAATCATTGGGCCTTCACAACAATCATTTATAGCTCATTTAGAAGGTTCAGAAGCCTTCAAGGTGACTATAAATCAATCACACTGCCTAACCCTAAGGTAAGCCGAATTCAAGCTCCCCCTTGCTAACTTAGGCATCGGAGTCCCTGTGACAAGTGTCACACCGGTTTAGTCTTGTTTGGTTTTGTAGGTCTTTAAGTCCCTGATAATCAAGTTTGGTGCGAACCTCGGAAGGAACCGGTAGAGCATAATCCACGCATCAACAGATCTAAATCTAACTCAACTCGTTAAAATATTAATTATAACTTCTACTAAAAGTTAGATATTCTATAATAGATGTCGAATTAGACCACGAATTAAAAATGTATGGAAAAGCTCTATTGCGATTTCGCGAGGCAATCCACATCGATGTAATGAAAGTGSGGGCCCTACAACAATCACAGAACGTCTTGAATAATCGACCCGTTTGCCAAGCAGAGTCTCACGAAAAATCTTCCCTCTTTTCCTTCAATTACATCGGAAAACGACTTGTAAACCTTATTATGGCCATCCCTCATTGGTTTTCCGCGGATTCCATTATCAAGAAGTGTATCCACAGTTTCTTGGACCAATTTCTCTCGAACCTAGAGCTAGCTGGTTCTCCCCGAAATGCGTTGAGGCGCAGTAGTTGACTGGACATCTAGAGGTAAAGCACTGTTTCGGTGCGGGCCGCGAGAGCGGTTCCAAATAAAGGCAAACTCTGGATACTAGATATGATCTCAAAATAACAGGGGTCAAGGTCGGCCAGTGAGACGATGGGGGATAAGCTTCGTCGTCGAGAGGGAAACAGCCCGGATCACCAGCTAAGGCACCTAAATGACCGCTCAGTAATAAAGGACATAGGGGTGCAGAGACAACCAGGAGGTTTGCTTAGAAGCAGCCACCTAAATGACCGCTCAGTGATAAACGTCCTTCTCTCTAAATAGAAGTAGAAAAGAAGAATATAGGTTTATGATATTTAGAAAGATCCTAGGTTTTATTTTCTTTATTTTTTTGTTTTTTTACGATAAGTGGGGTAGGAAGTTTGAATCWMCACGTACACAATATACATACACACACTTTATAATTTTAAATTTTACCATTTTTTTATTATTTTATATTTTTTAAAGTTTCAAATATGAGCTTAATGGATTCTAAATGATGTGTCATCAAAATTATTGCTTTAGCAATAATTTGGTATGTATGCATTGCTACTTGAACTGTTATATTGCTAATGAAATTTTGAAAGAACAGAAATTTTTGGTACAAGTCGAATGTTACTAATAAAGGTGGGTTGATTTGATGTGTCAAATAGTATTTGAGAGACCTATTATATTTAGTCATAAAATATGTAAATAAAGAGAAATTATTTGCAAGAATAATGAAACCGATAATTCTACACTATTAAATGCATAATAGACAGGTKAAGGGGAAGACAACCACACAAATGAGAGATTGGAAGCAACATACAGCAATCTGAAGAATAGTCTATTATTTGATATTATYGTTGAAGGAGAAATTTCGTCTAATTACTAAATATTAAATCACAAAATTAAAATTACATTTAGGACCAATGATTAAATTACACGTGTCCTAAATTAATTTTAAAATCGATGAATCAAATTATGCTACGTGTCTTTCTTATGGCCATCCGATGGAATCAATTAATTAGATCAAAATCTATGGAGAGATTGGGCGCAAGCCGATGACCCATTAAGCCTATTGTCCAATAAGACCCACCAAGACTCTATAAATAGGGAGGGTCACCTCTCATTTGGGACATTCAGAGAGATCTAGAAGCATTGGAGATTCAGAAACTTCGGAGCATTCAAAGTTATCACAACCGTTAAGAGTGCGAAGCATCCAGAACCAACAATACTCGAAGGACGGAAGACTTAAAGACTACAGACTTCAAGAATTATGAATCTCCTCTTCGCCAAGCTACAAGCCGAAGTACTTCATCAAGCTACGGATTTCGTCAAGCGAGCCGAAGACTTCGTCAAGCCACAAGCTTTGCTAAGCATTAAATTTCACAGTCGAAGACTCTAAAGATTCTTCAATACACCAGAAATTAAGACACAAACCCATTGATTGGAGAACAAACTCACAAGTCCTCGAATTAAAGTTTACATATGAGAGAAGTAATCAGAATATTATATATTAGAGATTGTAACACGACATACATTTAATACAAATCAAGTTCATTAATTCGGATTTCTCTTTGTTGAATTTCTCCTCGAACAATTATATAATCTGAAGAATATATGCCAACAAGAAAAAAAAAAGTTCCAAGTGAAATCTCTGCACTTTTCTTCTGGGCAAAAAGGAAAAAGGAAAACAAACATGGTCATGATTTAGGACTAAATTCAAAAAAGGGCAAATTAGCCTGAGCCTTGAAATCATTTCTAGTATTTTGTTTTGAAAGAAAAAAAGAAATTTGAAATCAAAACTGATCTAAAATCTTATATTTTTTGTCCAAAAATTTTCCATTTCAAATGGATGGAATTTCAAGCATGCGAAAGTGTTTTATGTATTTTTTTTTTACGCGAATTGTCATTCAAGCAAATAGACTAAAGTTGGTTTTCTCTTTTGCATCTCTTCATCTATTTGAATCAACATTCAAGTAAAATTCGAAGTTAAATTTCTATTTTGCTTGATGTGTCTTTCTTGTAAAGATATCTGTAGTTTGGTACATTTAAAATCTCTCTTTTTTTGTGAGAAATTTAAAATCTCTCTTCAGCTTTTTTACTTTTTTGTTTCTTAATATTTGAATTTTTTTTTTTGCCATAATCCATTTAGTTTTTGTGTTTTAGTATGACATTTGTTATGGTCATTCATTTTAATCAAGGTTAATTTTTATTGATTTTTTTAATAAAAAAATTAAAGAGCTATAGATTACTGGACGATAATAAGAAAGAAAACAAATGAAAAAAGATGAGGAAAAGTTTGTTCTTAAAAAAACAGAAAAATCCCTCTCATCCTACTTATCCACTACCAATTTTGGTTGGCATGACGTTGATTGATTTGAAAGTGTTCTCGAAGACGAAAATGTAGCATGCGATGAATAACAAAATAAAAGTGATTCACCTCAAATGTCGTTCTTATACTCTCAATTAACTATAAATGAGAAGTGAAAAGGAGAGATGATTCAAATTAATTTTTTTTAGTACAACAAAAATATTTGACGTTTTGTCTGTGATCCATCGTTAAAGGTTTGACAGGTCAGAGAGATCCATGTAAAAAAAGAAACTTTATCATATCTATTAATGGATACATATTTTTCTTCATTAATTTACAATTTTATTTTTTCTTTATTATTTATATTACTAATAATGTTCTTCTAATATACAAATTATACTAACCTTTTTAGTTAATTATTTTTTATTACATAATATTACAGATTTCTATTTAATTTATCAATCATTTAATTTTACTTTTGATAAAATTATTTAAATATAATTCATCATCATTGGAACCGCAAAATTTAACCAATATTTTGTATTTAATAAAAATTACATTAATCATTAATTGATGTAATTTTATTTTAATGATTTATTAGTTGCTAATATTAAATAATTTTGCTATAATAAAAAAATATTTACTATAAAAAATAGTATTAGAATAAATTAAAATCAATTATTATTTTTATTACAAATAATATAAGCATAAATTTTAGTTGATGTGTTTGTAATTAGTTAGAATGAGAAAAAGGTATATTAGTTGTTGATGCGGATATCTAGCTAGGCGCAATTCACCTAAGTGCCACATATGCCTTCGTCTTCTAGCTCTAATTGCTTGCACATAGAAATCTAGCATCAGTTTGGTGCTCTACCGAATGTACTTCGATACTTAAGTTAAAATTGAAGTTCGAAGCAAACATATATAGTACGAAAAGAGTAAGAGGGCGGTACTATTTGAGAGTTATAGTGATAGTATGTGCTGAATCTTCACAAGGAGATGTGCAAGGAAAATGTAGCTTACCTACAATAGGGTTGGCAGCCTTCTCCATATATATGGAGAGAGAGGAGTTTTTCCTTATATGAGACGTCCAAAGAGAGCAGTATGCCATACTTGGGTCCAAGGGACCACCGACATCCCCTGCCTTCCTCAATGTCTTAGATAGGGGCCATGTCAGCATCTTGGGTGGTCCCTTGAGTTGTATCGTAGTTTGGATACAGAGTGTTAGCACCTTACATAGTGACAGTCCTCTAATGGTTGACTTATTTCATTGTGATTTCTTGTAAGCAAACAAAGTCTTAATTCCGTGAACCTATCCATCTAATGGTTGACTTATTCATAATACATTCAATTAAAAAATTCATAGACAATGAAACATGAGGAAGACAAAAATGAAAACTTCCCAACTTCCCGACTACCCTAATAAACTATTATTCAAACAAATTCTAACTTCTACTTGCAAGAGAAGCAAATGGAGTTCAAATCCTTGAGCCATAGCCATCTTTTAACATATTGCCTATATGAAGATTCACCTTTGTTGCTCCAACTCCCCATGTTTCCCTCCCACCACTCTCCCCTCCCTCCATCTCAAGTTTGCCGCAGCCGCACCAAGCCCGGGAACTTCCACCCCCTCCCCTCTCTCACTCGCACCCGACCTTCCACAACTGATTTAGATATCGAAATCGTCACATCTGATCAGAGCTCCTGCTCCAACCACAACAGGCCGCACGGGCAAGAGCGAGAACGAGAACTAGCAGAAGGAATTTCATGTTGTGCATGTTACAAGGCATTGACACCAATTGGATTCCAAAGCAAGACTCTCTGTTATATATGCAACAAATGGCTTCTCCTCACTTTTGTGCACCATGTTCACATGGATTGATCAACTTTTTTGATAGAAGATGTTCAGAATTGCCTAAGGAGATTCAATATCCCTATCACCCTCATCCTCTCACCATGAGGATTAGAAAGAAGTCTAATTGTTGTGTTTGTGGGCAGAGTTGTAGAGCTTTCAACTATGGCTGTGATGGCTGCAACTTTATTGTGGATATCAAATGTCTTTTGAAAGAGAAGAAGAATTATGATGGTCCCATAACAAGTGTGAGAAAGTTTATGGGGTTGCTCTATGACTTGTAAATAAATATAATGGTCTACTGATTGCTTGTAAAGTTTTTGAACTTCTGTTATATATATGATTGAACATCACCAAATCGGAAGTAAATTAAGATGTGTACAGTGTTTGAAATATTGTCATTTTGAGAGGTTTTTATGTGAGTTTTATTTAGGGCTGTTGAAAAAAGAAAAAGAGAGATAATTTTACGGTATATAGTTTTTATATATATTTTTGCAAGATTCAAAATCATTCATGAAAAATGGATGTATTAAAAAAAAATCATGAATAAGGGATGATTTAATATCAGGTGATTAACTCAACTCGAAATTTCTTTTAATTTGTTTGTTGAACAGAAATAAATCACAAATGATGATGCTTTAGAAGAGAGAAATGAAAAAAAAAAACACTAATAAATAGCTTACCTAAGTAAAACATGTCCTCTTTTATCAACGTCATTAATTTAAATCTTCACTCCAAAGGTTGGGATAAAAATGTAATATTAAAATTTTTTATGGCGGATAAAAAGATAACGGAATTTAAGAGAAGAAAAAATGGAGAAAAAAAAGATTTTGTTGGTGTAATTTAACCCATTAATTAATATCAATCTCCATATCAATCCACCATCAGTTTAACACACAATGCATCATATTTTTCCAAATTTAAACGTGGTTATCTACCTTTATGTATATATATTTTTATACCCTATTGAGTCAACTATGGGGAAAATATATAAAATATAGTGTTTTGTTTTTTAATCATTAGCTTTCATCACTTTAATTAATTGGTAATTTAGTTTGAAGAAGTTATCAACCAAAAAAAAAAAACAACTAAAAATAATTTCTCAAAGACTTTGACTTGGCTTAAGAGCTCCTACTTGGTCTATCCTTCATAAATTTATTAACTTGTATTGCAAGAAGGTCTCAATTTTATGGAAATATCGATAAAATGTCGATAGCGATGGATATTTCTATAAAAATTAGAAAAATTTAAAAAATTGTAAAAAGTATTTAAATGAACAAACATTTTTCTATTTCTAAATTAGTTAAAAATTATTAATCTTAATAGGGTGTGTATACATATATTATATATATTTTTAAACATAACTATTATATATATTAATGACATTTTGTTGATATTTTTCATATTTTGTCAATTTACTGGTACTATAATGGCAATATCTCTATTTACTTCTTATGTCGATGTCGAATCCATGAATACATGGATATGTCGATGAAAATGTCAACGTGTCCACGGATATTTAAAACCATGATTGCAGCTTTTTTTTTTCATTCTAAATTTCTAGTTGATCTTTTAAAATTAAATCTTTCTTCTTATCAATCACTCTATTTATATTTATTCAAATCTTGTCCCACATCAAAATTTAATCATTAGAGAAAAATAATAGCATTTCCCTTCCATCTTTGGTATTCAATGGTTCAATTTTCTTAGAGTTGACTTATGAAAAGGATACCCAATTTTAAACTTTTTTTATAATAAATTTTAATTAAAGAGATGGATTGTGAGGAAAGAAAGCTAGTTTTCCCACCCACATAATTTATTTGATATCTAAATTTCTTGTTTCAATGCCATATGTTATATATTGCGAGGGTAAAATAGGAAGACGAGAAGAAATATATATAGTTCAAGATACATGTTTAATTAAAATAAAAGGAGATGAATTCCTAATGGTAAGAGAATGAAGCAAAATTTTATTAAAAGTAAATGAATTGAACATTTTCACCATTTATGTTTTATTTTCTTATATACACAAAATAAACTATCCATAGACCATAACACGTTATTTCAACTAGTTTATTATTATTATTTATTTAAATTTTTACTCCATGATAAAGCGCAATAAAAAACCTTCATTGATATGAGTTTTATGCATATAAATAAATAAATAAAAATACACAAAAATAAACTTAAAATGTAGTGTAAGGAAAAAATGATTAAATGTGTGCCGGCCACTCAGTAGTCATTCGATCCATGTTTAATTAAAATAAATTTTCTTAACTTATCTAATATTCAATAACATTATTCCAGCTATATATAGAATAATTGTCTTATAAAATTTTATTTTAGAAAAGGAGATATGTATTTTCTGGTTTTGATAATAGTCTAATTTTTCGGTGGTGATCGGTACGAAAACTATGTATACTTAATATTATTTTTTTAAAAAAAGGAAAAACATTCGTGCATTCTCTCCTATACTTGTCAAAAAGTAATACAAAAGTTTGGATTAGTAAGACCAGCAAATCGATAGACTGAACTAAATAACCAACCCAACCCAATCCAAAATTTTCGGGTCGAATTGGATAAT